GCCACTGGGGCTTTAGTCTTGAGCTTGCTCTGACTGTAGGTGGCTGAGAACATGCTAAAGAGCATTGAGGTCTCAGTCTGATTGGTCCTGGCCTGCGTCACCTTCCTGTGTAGGAGCCTCAACCCACCCCGGCTGGAGCAGGCTTCCAGCATATTGGCTAGAATCATATCTCTTCTATGGAGTGAATGGATACAATTTTAGTCACACAGTAGTTTTCATACTGTCACACACTAAACCTCAAAAAAATATACTATAAAATATTCAGTTTACAGTTATTTATATAAGTTATTTTGAAATTTAATAACTACCCTATAAAAATTTTTCTTTGTTGTTCATTTGTTATTTTGAGGTTTTTGTCTTAGGCTGCATGCACTAGCCAAAGAGAGAGAGAAACATAGTGAGAGAGAGAATGAGAAATCACTCTTCAGAGGAGAAGGCCACAAAATCCCACCTTCTCTTTTTTTTCTCCCAGGATCTTGGGCACACATGCACATGTGCCTGGTGTGATTTTCAAGCCACCAGGTTCAGATTTTCAAGCCACCAGGTTCAGAACTTGAACCACAGTCGGCCATGTGGGAATCCAGTGACATAATAGCTATGCCATCTATAGGCCCCAGAAGAAAAGTTTTTAACTACCAACTGGTTGACTGAAAAAGGGAGCTATATTAAGGTGGGAAAATAAAATCACATGAAAATTTCATTATAGCAGGAACTATGTTTTACATAATTTAAGTGACAACAATAGTTACACTTGAAATATCACCTGGGAAGAAAATACTTAAATATTTTCTCTGTCTTATAAAGGTCAAAGAAAAGCAATCTGATCCAAGATATTTCATTTTATTTATTAGCAGTCTGATCCAAGATACTTAGATCCACAAAAGCTCCCCTCAATTTCAAAATAGGAAATGTTATAGAAGTAGAAAAAAATGAAGGTGTACAATCTATACTACTGAATACACTGACATAACCGTCAAAGATGTGAAAAGTAACGGACAGATTATTTTTACCATTATTAGAAAGAAGAAAGGCAGTATAAAAATATTTTTGAAGAGTAAATAAAACAGGGTCAGTGGTGAATAGTGGTTAAGGGACCTGAATCTGACCTGGCCAACTGCACAGTTCAAGTCCCCACACCAGGCACATGTGCTTGTGTGATCAAAATCACAAAAGGAGAATGGAAGAGATGGGATTGCAGCATTGCCATCTTCTCTGGGCAGTGCTTTTTCATACCCATTCCTCCCACCATCTCTCTCCAGTGAGGGCATGTACCCTATGGCAAATTGGAAAAAAAAAAAAAAAGTAAATAAAACATTCAAAAATGAAAACTGTAATAGAAAACTAATTAAATTATACAATTGGGTGATTCAATTAGAAATGAGAATACCAAATAATTGGTAGTATGATATACAGTAGAAAACAGACGAATGGACTGAAAAAGTGTGGCACATATACTCCAATGGAATACTATTCAGCCATTAAAAACAAAACAAAACAAAACAAAACAAATGACTATGGCATTTGATAGAAAGTGGACAAATATGGAAGATTTACTGCTGAGTGAAGCAAGACAGGCTATGAAAGAGAGATACTGTATGTCTCCACTTAACATATACTTACAGTCGGTACTCTATGGTAGAGACTGAAAGACTGGAGGACATAAAAGCACTGAAAATAGTTATGGACATTGGAGACAGTGTGGAAGAAGAGTGGGAGTGGGGAAGAGGGTAGGGAAGGAATTTAGGGAGAAAAATAGAGAAGACATTTGTGTGACACAGAAATGGTCTATTACTTGATGATAATGTATACAGTATTTTCAATTGAACTGGTCTGAGATGTATTTCATGTTGGGTAAATTCTCTTTACAAGCTAAATGAGGTACAGTGATTGAACGTATAAAAAATAATAACAAGAAGAAGAAAATTAGCAAAACCATGTTTTGATATTTAATAAATAGCTTACTTTTTGTTTCTCATTGAATTATTGTTATATATAGTTTTTAATTCCTACCCCATTCTCTTTGGAATTATTCTAGGTTTAAATAAATTTCACCTTTGATTTAAACATTCAAAAGTTCTGATTTGTTAAGAAAGCATGTTAGACTAAAGATTTTTATACTAAAAAAAAAAATGTTCTCAGGACCAGTCGGTGCATAATTTGAGAGAACTTTAAAAAAATTTTTTTTCTAAAAACATAGTTTATCTGTAGACTTAAGACTAATAAAATTCCAATCTGATTTCCACACAGAACTGACAGAAACTGTATAGGCAATACTGTAGCACTAATTAGAAAAAAACAAACAAACAAAAAACACCACACAACTGTGCACAGAGAACACTGTATGTTGGCAGCTACTATAAATTAAACAGAACTGCAATGTATAACATTACCAAAAAAAAATGAAAGGCACTTTATATCTAATACCAGTTAATGTTTAACTGCTTTTAATATGAAATATCTGGTAAAATAGCTCCATCTCTACATGAGGTAAGAGTGAGGGATAAAACAGGTGGAAAAGGTAGAATACCAATAATATTCACTGAGAACCAATTCTCCAAGTAAATGTAAGTTAAGAATTTTGTTTTTTTATATGTAAATGCTAAAGCATATTATAATATAAAGTAACATTGATGGCTTCTTAAAATGTTGATAACTTGTGTATAAGTTAAAACAGTATACATTTACTGGATTTTTACTGTTCTAAATTTATATTACAGATACAAAAATTTTAAAGTTTGTATATATCTCAAAATATATAATCAATGTTCACTTCTAATCATCAGTCATCAGGAAGCTTGTAAGCGGCATATAAGTGATAAAATTGGATCCTAACAGATGCACAGAATAAAAGTATTAGTGCAACCCTACAACCATTTTTACCCAATGCCTGCATCAGCTTTCCTAGTCTCTGGCCAAAATTACCATAGTATAAATATTTCATAAGTTGGTAATTATTTGAAATTTTGCAGACTGTGTTCACAAAACTCTCCAAAATGTTGTTGCTTAGGTACTAAAACCAATTATTGCAAATATTATAGGACTAGACCCTACTAATGAGCACCATAAACCCAGAGCATATACTGCATAAGCATCTAGATTTATTCCAAATACATCATGGACATAGAAAATTTGCTATGTGAAGCCCTTCTCCAAGTAACTTAAATTGCTTCTTTAAAAAATTCAAAAATATGAAGACTGTATATGCCCTAATTTTCGAAGTAGTTCAAATTATCTGAAAGCCACATAATGTAACCTAAAAGCTTAATATACTACTCTCCACAAACAAGAGCCTACCAACATCATTCATGTATTATCAACGTTAAATAACTTTCCAGTTACATAAATTATGTTAGGCTACTTAGAAAGAGGTAATAGCAGACCCATCTTCTGGCATTCATCTTCCCCAGTTTCTGACAGAAAGTTGGTAACAGTAACCACCAGAGAACCTGATAGCATTCCACTCTCCCCAGTTTCTGACAGAAAGCTGGTAACAGTAACTACCAGAAAACCGGAGGGTAAAAAGTAGCATGTCTCAACTCACAGGACCTAAACTGTTAACTCTACCAGGAAATACGCAGGACTAAACACAAAAGTAATAATAAAAGATCCTCTCTTCCCCAATACGCCTGGAATGCGTAAAGACAACGATTAGATATAAGATCGTATTGCTGCACTCTTAGATCGCATACAAATGCTAACACCACGAAAGGATTCCCAGGCCTACATAACTGGTACAGAGGGATACAGTCATTTTTGTCTGACTGTCTCCCTTACACAAATACCAGAAGCATTACAAAGGCGAAAAACGAGGTCCGAGCACAGGGATCTACTGCAGAACTAAGGGTGGGATGCTCAAGGAGAACTAAGGATTCCGATGTGACCTAAGCGAGGAGGGAAGACAACTTGGGCCTCCCTATTCTGGTTCCGGCCAATGCCTTTTCTCTCGATACTCACACCAATGTACAGAACGCTTACCAACCCTCCAAGCTCCCTTCGCAAGCCCAGTCTGAAGGTGTCACCGCCGCCTCCGCTCCGAGGAGCGGGGAAAGCACCCCTCTGTCCCCGCGCCTGGCCCTGGGAGGACGACGAGAAGGCTGTGCGCGCGCGGCTCCCGGGAACCCACCCTTGGCTAGCCAGGTGCTCCGCGAGCAGCTGAGAGGCGGACGCCGGCCACCGCCTTGCCAGGGTCAAGCGAGACTCGGACGTTGGAAGAATAAGAACAACAGACTGGAGAATAATAAAAAGCAACCAAAACAATACCAGGCCACTAGGACGATCGCCTCTAAACGCCACCGGAAGTCAGGGTTTTGCCCTGTCCCTCTGCAGACCGAGGCAGCTTCCGGCCGCCAGTTTAGTCGTCAGCGCGGAGGCGCCGCCCCTTCGTGGACACGCCCCCTGGGCTTCCCGTCGACTTTGACCGGTGGGAGTTTCGTGGGCAGTGACGAGTCACTGTGAGTTATGAAAGCTCCCCGGAGCATGAGCTAGGCGCCTGAGAGACTTAACGTTCCGATCAAAAGGGAATTGAAGAATTTTCTCTTTCTGTTACATAATTTCTTACAATAAGCAGCTGTTGAAAACGGTCAAAATGCCACGTTAGTTGTGGAAACTAACCGCACCTATTCATTTATCCACTGAACGATCTTTATTGAGTGGCTAAGCTGGAGGGACAAGGCGGTGTTTGTTCTGATTTTGACCCCCGATTTATTTTTGTGCCGTGGTCTGTTTTCATGGAGCAAACAATGCAGTTTTGTTTCTTGGTTTTGTATGTGTGTGTTTTCTTTCTTTCTTTCTTTTTTTTAAGGCGCAAGGAGAAATTCGAAGCAGAAATCTGTAATGTACTCCTGACCTTTCCTTTTCTTGCCTAGTTTCCAATGATCTGCACTAAATTAGTTGTTAAAATTGCTTAAGATGGCTAGTCAAACGTCGGAAGTCAGAGGAAAAAAATCGGTGCATGGCTTCTTACAAATTAAAAAGAATAAAAATACATGTGACTCTTTGACTTAATTTACTTAACGTAACATTTATTTTATTTTTTGACAAAACCAAGGAATAGGAAAACCATTTATCGAAACTACTAATAAAACTTCAAAAGAAAAGAAAACCAAACTGGCAATGATTTGGTCTTGCTGGAATCAGATAATTAAAATATGAGAGCAGAATGATAAAATGAAGGGCATTAGGCATTTCTGATGACATGCCAAGCTATTTTAGAGACAGCAGCAAGAGCTTCATTACAAGTGGGTTTGATGAAACGCTCTGGCAACAAGAATCCGTATCTGCCTTTATCACGAAGTTCAATCGTGAATGAGTATTTGATGCCCAAATCATAAATCCAGTCATCTGAACCTCCAGGAGCTAGGTCTAAAAGAAGAAGAAAGAAATTACTTTTTGAAGTATAGGTGTCTCAAATTATTAAGCAAATTTTTTTAATTTCTTTTTTTTTAAAGAGATTTTTGCCTTAGGATGCATGTAGTCGCCTGAGAAAGACAGTGAGAGAGGAAGTGAGAAATCACTTTACAAGAGGAGAGATGGGCTCACTGCAATCCCTTCTCCTTCAGTCTTCTCCCTGGATCCACACACGTGCCTAGTGTGATTTTCAAGCTACTGGGTCTGGGACTTGAGCTGTGGTTCACCTTGTGGGAGTCCAGCAATATAACCACTATGCCATCTGCTGGCTCCAGCAATTTTTTTTAATTGCTTTTATTTTATGATTTTTAAACACCTTTTTTTCCCTGTAGAAAATGGAGATAGAAAACAGTTTGAGGAATCAAACAAATATTACCCATGACTCTGTCATAATCTTTTTTTTTAAAGATTTTTGCCTTAGAATGTGTGCAGTCTCTGGACAGAGAGAGACAGAGACAGAGACAGTGAGAAGGAAAGTGAGAAATCACCCCCAGGGGGGTATGGCCACATGGAAATCCCTTCTGCATTCTCCTGGGGGGTCTTGGGCACAATGCACACATGCCTGGTGTGATTTTCAAGCCACCAGGTCAGGGACTGGAACTGTGGTTAGCCATTTGGGAGTCCAGCAGCGTAACCGCTAGGCCATCATGTGCGTTGAGAAAGACAGAGAGAGAGAGAGAGAGAGAAATGGACTCAGTGCTGCAATCCTCTAGCCTCCAGTAGTTTTTGTTATAGGGCAGGCACCACCAATCTCAACCTGTCATAATCTTACCAAGGAATAATAATCACTAATAAAGTTTTGGTACTTTTATTTAACACATGCATTCACATTCTCAATTTTTTTATTATATACATTTCTAAATATTAAGTTTAAAGGTACATCATCATTTTCAATGATCTCCTAGTATTGAGTTGTTAAGCTGGATGTAATTGATGTAAATAATTGTTTAATTTGGTGTCTTTAGATTTTTTTTCAGTTTTTAACTAATATAGCAACTTTAAAATGAATATCTATGTTTATACATAATTCCTTTGTTGTTTCTCTAGAATAATCTTTCCTGAAAATAGATGTGCACTTTTTATAATTATAACACATGTTTCTACATAACCTTCGAAAGAATTGAACCAATTTATACCTCCAGTAGAATATTTGAATATGCTCACTTCTCCCTCCTGCATTATCTATCAAAAAAATGAATTTTGGGACCAGCAGTTGATATAATGGCTATGTCACTGGACTCCCACATAGTCGACCATGGTTCGAATCTCAGACCCGGTGGCTTAAACTCACGCCAGGCATGTGTGTGCATGCGTGCCCAAGATCCCAAGAGGAGAATGGAGGAGAAGGGATTGCAGCGTGGCCATCCCCCCTAGGGGGTGATTTCTCGCTTTTTGTCTCCCTGTTTCTGTGTTTCTGGCGAGTGCATGCGCCCTATAGTAAAAACCTCTAAAAAATAGAGTATAAATGATATCCTGTTGTCTTAATTTACATACATGTCTTTTATTACTAGTGAGTTACACATTTTGTTTGATATATTTATTGTTCATATTTATATTCTCTATCAATTACTCTTGTTCATTTTTCTACTTGGTTCATTTTTTTTTTCTTTTTTTGGAGAGGTTTTTGCTATAGGGCGCGTGCACTCACCAGAAAGACAGTGAGAGACAGAGAGACAGAAAGCGAGAAATCACTCCCCAGGGGTGATGGCCATGCCGCACTCCCTTCTCTTCCATTCTCCTCTCGGGATCTTGGGCACGCATGCACACGCTCGCGGCGTGAGTTTAAGCCACCGGGTCCGGGACTTGAACCAAGGTCGACTACATGGGAATTCAGCGACAAAGCCATTATGCCAACTGCTGGTCCCTACTTGATTCATTTTATAGACTAAAGAACAATATTAGTGTTGTTAGCCCTGTGTGGTATGTCAAGACCTCCCTGCCCCATTAGTTATTTAGTCTTCAGCTTAGTTTATGGCAGGGTTTTAATCAAGGTATTAAAACATTTGACCTATTTGAGTATACTCTGGTGAGAGCCATGTTAACAAGTCCATTAAGTTTGTTTGTTTGTTTGTTTTTCCCTAAGTAACTTGTCAGGTCTTCCAACCTGACATTCTTAATAATCTAACATTCTTAATTAGTTTAAAATGCTTTCACTAGGGACTAGCAGATGGCGTAATGGTTATGTTGCTGGACTCCCACGTAGTCAAGAACAGTTCAAGTCCTAGACCTGGTGGCTTGAAACTCATGCTGGGTGCGTGTGTGTGTACATGTGTGTGTGCATTCCCCACATCCCAACGGGAGAACAGAATAGAAGGAATTGTGCAATGGCCATCCCCACTGGGCAGTGATTTCTCACTTTTTGTCTCTGTTTCTCTGGAGAGTGTAGGTGCCCTGTAGCAAAAATCTATAAAAAAAAACAAACAAAAAACCCAAAAACTTTCTGTATGAGATACTGGATCTCCTTATAAGACATCTTTTTGCACTCACTATTCCTTTCTGTTGGTCTATGTTTTCTAAACTTACTATCGCACTGTTTTACTTAGAATAGGTTTATAATGTACTTTAATACCTGGTTGAGGGTTCTCTTACTACTTTATTTTCCAATTTTTACAAGCTCTTCTATCAGATATTTTTTTTTTTGGCGAGGTTTTCACTATAGGGCGCATGCACTCGCCAGACAGACAGAGAGAGACATAGAGACAGAAAGTGAGAAATTACCCCTCGGGGGATTGCCACGCCGCAATCCCTTCTCCTTCATTCTCCTCTCAGGATCTTGGGCACGCACACACACGCGCCCGGCGTGAGTTTTAAGTCACTGGGTCCGGGACACGAACCGCGGTAGACTACATGGGAATCCAGCAACATAGCCATTATGCCAACTTCTGGTCTCCAGATATATTCTTTTAAATAAACTTGAAAATCATTTAAGTGTTCATTGAGATTGCATTAAATATACACATTAATTTGGAAAATATAGGGTCATCAGAAAAGTCATGATGATGTATTTTTCTATGCTTTTCTATGCAAAGTTGCATCATGACTTTTTCAATGACCCCATATTTTGTATTACATTCCCACTCAAAAACATTAAGTTTCTCCTTTTGTCTCTTATGAATGGCAGTAAAATGTTCTAGGTTTTCATATAGGTCCTTTGGATTTATTGTGTGTGAATGTACACATATATATAAACAGTAAACAATAATGTATATATGTATGTATCTATGTATGCATGTGTACATATGTATGTATCTATGTATGCATGTGTACATATGTATGTATGTATAAATGTAATGGCAAGCAGTGAGATCATTTTTCCGTGCATTTTTTACCTGATCATTTTTGATATAAAAGAAAATTAAAGATTCGTGTATTTAGTTCATAGCCATTTTACTCAACTCTTGGAGTGTTACTAATATTTTTGGTTGATTTTCTAGGTTTTCAGGTAGAAAATTATATAATATGCAAAGAATAATCATTTTACCTCTTTCTACCTACAGTTTGGCTAATTACTGTTAATTATTGCTAACTGACATATTGTAATATTGAAAAATATTCATCAATAGTGGATTAGATCAATCTTTCATTCAATCAACAAGTATTTCTGATAACTGTGATTGAAAACAACACATGTATTACTCTAGTTATTTTCCTTACTTACACATGAAGATATAGATTCAAGTGGTCTTCAAGAAATTCATGGAAAATGCATATTATGTAAAAACAGGACATAGATTTCAAAAATTTTTTTCCACCTAAATAAGCTCGTACTTTAGTGACATTTTTATAGTAACCTACTAAAGTCCCTTCATATATGCTATATGAGTGAATACGGCAATAGACAGACTTCATCATCACAGGAAGTTGCTCTGTAAGTTCTTCCAGCTTTGAGACACATTACTTAATGTTTTGGGAACAAAAATAAAGGAGAGACTATAAACCAAGAAAGCTGTAAATTTAAAGGTAAATTGTGGCATCCTCTGTAATGAGGCAGGGGGATCACCTCATCATAGGTAGTAATGGTCCTGTAACACCGACAGGCAGAGATGCCATGTGGACCTACCTGGTCAATGATATGGGGTGATTCATGAGAAAGGAAGAGTGAGATTTTGGCTTTCTATCAACAGGGCATCTAATGCTCTGGTAATTTGTTAAAAATAATATAAATGCAACTATTTACCCCTGGAGAGCATACCTGTTATAGGAAACCCTGGGACTTTGAATATATTGTCTCAAGGCCTTTTCATTTGCCATTTCCTGTTCCTGGTTCCCCTACCCCTATCTTTGCTCAGTAGCTACTTACTAGATCAGGCTCCCAGAAATGGCATCTACAAGGAGAGAGACCTTCCTTGGCCACTTTAGCTAAGTAGCCTCTCTTAGCCACAGTCATTCTCAAGTCCATAAGCCTATTTTCTTTTCTTCAAAGGACTTATCAATGGAATTACACTGCGTTTTACTATCTAATTGTTTACATTAGAGGTTGGCAAACTTTTTCTGTAAAGGATCAGACAGTAATTATTTTAGGTTTTAGAAGCCACACGATCACTGTTACAACTACTCTGTTCTTGTGAAAGCTATCATCCACAATATAAAAATGAATGGTTGTGTTCCAATAAAACTATTTATGGAAATGAATATGAATTTCATATACTTTTTGTGTATCCTTCAAATTGTATTCTTTTAATTTTTCTCAACTATTTTAAAAAGGGGAAAACCATTCTAAGTTCAGAGGCTTTACAAAAATAAGCAAGTAGGTAGAAATAGGCTGGTTTTGGTCATCATGCTATAGTTTACTGACATCATCCCACTGTGGTATGTGGGAGTCTATGCATCTCCCAAGAGAAATTAGTCAAAAATATCTGTTCAGTCTTTGACACATACAGGCTTTCATTGGTGTGATATTGACAAAAGACTGTAGTGTGTTATGAGCTATACTATTGGACACAGGCTCTCACTGAAAGGTGTCTAATGAAAACAGCACCCTCTAGATTTGCCTAGTGTACCACCTGCACAACCTCACACAGAGGACCTGGGCATCTTACAGATTCTTTTCTCTTTCCATTCAGACAGCCAATATCTTTTGACAGGAGGGTTTAATTTGTTTATATTCAAGGTTATTATTGATAGATTAAGAACTTCTCCTGTCATTTTATTGTTTTCTGATTGTTCTATATATTTTTTCTTCCTTTCCCCATCATTTATTGTTTGTCACTGTGAGTTTGGTGGTTTTTTGTATTGATAGGATTTTATTTCCTCTGTTTTCTTGTTTGTGTATCTGCTCTCCTGTGAATTTTATACTTTTTTTTTAACGCAATGATAGTATTGTCCTTTAATTTCTAGATATAAGACTCTCTTAAACATTTCTTGTAAAGTGATTTAGAAGTGATTAAATCCCTCATTTATTGTGTTTTCCCCCCCTTCTTTTTCTTTCTTTCTTTTTTTTTTAAATAATAAGGTCTTATTTCTCCTTCATTTCTGAAGGATAGCTTTTCTGGGTGTAGTATTATTTATTTTTTTCCCAAGACACCAGGTCCAGAACTTGAACCACAGTTGGTCATGTGGGAGTCCAGCACATTTAACCACCACACCACCTGCCAGCTCTCTGGGTGTAGTATTCTTGGCAGGCAGTTTGAATATATCTTGCAGTTCTCTTTTGTCCTGTAAGGTTTCTGCTAAAAATATCTGTTGTCAGTCTAATTGTGATTTCCTTATATATGACTTGTTATTTTTCTCTTTCAATGTTTAGAATTCTCTCGTGGTCTTTGACTTTTTTTTTTTTGAGAGGTTTTTGCTATAGGGTGTGTGCGCTCACCAGACAGACAGAAAGAGACAGAGAGACAGAAAGCGAGAAATCACCCCCCAGGGGGGATGGCCACACCACAATCCCTTCTCCTCCATTCTCCTTTTGGGATCTTGGGCACGCACGCACACGCGCCCGGCGTGAGTTTCAAGCCACCGGGTCCGGTATGCGAACCACGGTCAACTGCGTGAAAGTCCAGTGACATAGCCATTACGCTAAGTGCTGGTCCCTCGTGGTCTTTGACTTTGATGATCAACTATGGAGAGTCTTGAGAGAACCTTTATGTGTTGAGTTTATTTGGAGAATTTTAAGCTTCTTGAATCTGGATGTTTGTGTATTTTTTCAAGATTTGGGGATATTTTCCACTTATTTCATTGAACAAGTTTTTAAATTTATTTTTCTGCTTCTTCTCCTTCTGTGACTGCCACAATATGAGCATTTAGCTACTTAATGATGTCTCATAAATCTTGTAGACTTTCCTAATTCTTCAATTTTGTTCTTTTCTGATTGTATTATATCAAATGACCCATCTTCAGAGATTCTTTTTTCTGCTTGATTTAGTGTGCTGTGTAAGTTTTCTACTGTATTTTTTATTTTACTTACGGAATTTTTCAGTTCAAAACTTTCTGTTTGGTTCTTTTTTATTATTTCTCTGTTTATTGAATTTCTTATTTTGATCTTAAATTGTTTAAAATGAATTGTCTATCCTGCATTTTCTTATATCTTGCTGAGTTTAAGATCTGTGTTTTGGGGCCAGCAGGTGGCATGGTGGTTGAGTGTGTTGGACTTCAACATGGAGGACTGCAGTTCATGTCCCAGACCTGGCAGCTTGCTTTCTCTCTCTCTCTCTTGCTCTGTCCCTCTCTGGTCAAATTAAAATAAATACAGAAAGTTAAATAAAAACACTTCTTAACAAAAAAGTATCTGTGTTTTGAATCCCTTCTGGAAGTTTATACTTTTGTGTGTGTGTGTGTTTATGGTTTTTGTTGTAGGGTATGTGTACTTGTTGAAGAGGAGAGAGACAGTGAGAGGGAAAGTGAGAAGTCACCCCCTTAAGGTAGAGTGCCATGTCACAATTTCTTCTCCTCCATTCTCCTCCTAGAAGTTTGGGATGCACACACCTATGCCCAGTGTGATTTTTCAAGCCATGAGGTCTGAGACTTAAAGCATGGTTGGCCAGTGGTAGTCCAGCACCTTAACTACCATGCCACCTGCTAGCTCCAGTTATTTTGTTTTCAATTTTGTCAGAGGGTACATGTGCTCACCAGAGACAGAAGGAGAAGTGGGAAAGGGTAGGAGATGTAGAAAACACCTCCCAATGGGACTTGGTCATGCCACAGTGCCTTCTCCCACTGTCAGGATTTGGGTGGTGCATGCACGTGCAACTGGGATGTACAACTCTGGTATTTTTCAAGTTACTGTGGTCAGGAATCATGGAGTGCACTTGGCCATGGGGCCAATCTAGCAGTTTGTAGATTTTATTTCCTTTGGGGTCTGTTACTGAAGAAGGGCTTCCACTCACCTTTCCTTGCTGGAGAAGTCTCTTTATCTTGGAGAACTTCCTCTGCCTAGGGAACTGGGGCAGCAGATAGGGTAGGGGGTATTTTTATCACTTCCTTTTTTTTTTTTTTTTGCTATAGGGTGGGTGCCCTCATTGGAGAGACAGAAAGCGAGAAATCATCCCTCCTCACTGGGAGATGGCTATGCTGCAATCCCTTCTCCATTCTACTCTTGGGATTTTGGACATACAAGCACACACACCCATTGTGAGTTTCAAGCCACTGGGTCTGGGACTTGAATTGCAGTCAGCCATGTGAGAGTCCCATGACAGCCATTATGCCACCTACTGGTCCCTCTCTTCCTTCTTTATGCATTCATTTACAGTTTCTGTGTACCGCTGCATTTCTGCCATTTTCCCTCTGCAACCCAGTGTTCTCCCTCAGTCATTCTGGATAAATATCAGATGTTTATTTTGATTTTGGCTCTTTTCTGTGGGAGGGAGGTACGTCCAGCTCCTCCCGTCAGTCATCTTGCTGGTAGCCCCAATTTTCCCTCTGCAACCCAGTGTTCTCCCTCAGTCATTCTGGATAAATATCAGATGTTTATTTTGATTTTGGCTCTTTTCTGTGGGAGGGAGGTACGTCCAGCTCCTCCCGTCAGTCATCTTGCTGGAAGTCCCAGGGTATTTATGTATATATATATATATATATATAGCTTTTGTTCAGCAATGTCATAGCTATTATGCTTCTATTTCTAATTGTTATAACCCAATTATTTCACATGAAAGTCTGTTTAAAGGTTTAATTGGGAAAAATTAAATCCATAAAGAAAAACTGAACACAGATTTCTTTGGTACTTCATGATTCTCCATGATCCTAAGAGGAAATACTTACATAAACTTTCTGAGCCACTGCCATGTGTATACTTGATATTTTTATTAACCCTCTCAATAGCATGAACTGCTTCACTGGCCAGTAGAGACTAGAAAAAATAAGACATGAAATTTCAGTTAATATGCAACTTAGAAGCAGGATAGGTAGAAGTTTCTTAAAAAAAAAAAACCTATAAATTAATTGAATCAAAAGTGTTTGTATGAAAAAATATGTATTTATCTGAAAGATAAATTAATAAGAATTATTTCATTAAAAGATGTTTTTCACTTTATGGCAGTCACAGTTGGGCAGCTTTAAAAATAAACTCTTCCAATGCATTGAAAATTTTATTTAATTTGTGGAAAAAGGAACTCTCACATGCCTCTTCAGTAATTCATTTATTACAGAAAATGAAATACAATTATATCTCAAAGGCTTGGAGTTAGTTCATTCCTAGAAAAAATTATCACCAAACTTTAAATCCAACCTCGCCAAACAAACATGATTTATTTTTCATCCTTTTCACAACCTACTTTCTTTTTGTACAGAATGTTTAATAACTTCCAAAGACTGTTCAAATAAAAAAGATTATGCTCCCAGTATGGATCAGGATAACAACTAAGGCTTCTGTTCAACAACACTTGGTTCTAGATTACAAATATCTTTTTTGAAGTTCTTACTTAGCTATATGTTTTCTGAAATTGGAATTAGCATCATCGTACTCACCATCACTCGCTTCAAAAACTCAGAGGAACATTAACAAATACATTGTGCCATTTCTTTGTTTTGAAAAAGAGTATTAATGGCGGGACCAGCAGATGGCATAAGGTTACGTTGCTGGACTTGCACATAGTTTATGGCGGTTTGAGTCCTGAGCCTTGTGGCTTAAACTCACGCCGGGCATGTGAGTGTGCACACCCAAGATCCCGAGAGAAGAATGGAGAAGAAGGAATTGCGGTGGCCATACCCTCTGGGGAATGATTTCTCACTTTCTGTCTCTCTGTCTCTCTTTGTCTTTCCTGTGAGTGCACGTGCCCTAGAGCAAAAAATCTCTCAAAAAATAAAAAGGAAAGGGAACCAGCAGTTAGCGTAATGGCTATGTCGCTGGACTCCCATGTAGTCGACCACGGTTCGCGTCCTGGACCCGGTGGCTTAAAACTCACGCCGGGTGCGTGTGCGTGCATGCCCAAGATCCTGAGAGGAGGATGGAGAAGAAGGGATTGCAGCATGACCATCCCCTCTGGGGGGTGATTTCTCACTTTCTGTCTCTATGTCTCTCTCTGTCTATCGAGCACACGCACCCTATAGCGAAAACCTCTCAAAAAAAAAAAAAGAAAAGAAAAGAGAAAATTTTAATAGAACTCCATTGTGTAATAATAAAATGCAAATTATTCTTCTATTCAAATCCCTTTACAAGATGACCTCGTCTAATACCTGCTTGTGTCACTCTCTACTTCTGCACCCTTGAAGTCCTCTGAATGTCCTCCCTGTGGGGGATGACATCTTCTCCACTTAGAATGTTCTCTCTTCCCTGTCTGCCTATAGAAGATATCTTTCTTTCTTTCTTTTCTTTCTTTTTTTTTTTTTGGAGAGGTTTTTGCTATAGGGCATGTGCATTCCCCAGAAAGACAGAGAGAGAGAGACAGAGAGATAGAAAGCGAGAAATCACCCCGCAGGGGGGATGACCATTCTGCTGTCCTTTCTCCTCCATTCTCTTCTTGGAATCTTGGATACGCACGCACATGCGCCTGGCATGAGTTAAAGCCACCGGGTCCAGGACTTGAACCACAGTCAGCTACATGGGAGTTCAGCGACATAGCCATTATGTTAACTGCTGGTCCCTGGAAGATCTCTTTTAATGCCTGGCTGAAATTGTAACTGTTCCTTGACATACATAGCACTTTATTAGTGTCTTGACAACATGTCATCCCTTAATAAATTATGAATTCCTCAAGGACAGGAATTACTTTGTCCCCTCACTTATCTCGGCATTTTCCTCTCAAATGAATTAAGAGTTGGTGCCTTGCTATCCCAGTCAGAACTGAGTTCTACCACCTGTGCCACTTGGAGTATTTGTAATGTTTGCTTATGGCTGAACTCCTCCATCATATTGAATTCCCGTAAAAGGCAGGGTCTTACCTAAATGCTTCTTTAAATGTTTTACACATAATAAATCTCAACAGAGACTTGTTTTGCTAGTTACCCAAAAATAAGGGACAATCAGACTAAGTCTACTTTCCAAATAATGATAAATATCCTTTCATTTCTTCAAAGATAATACCAATAAAGGAGTTTTCCTCAAAGATTTTCCCTTGATAAGAAAAAGAAACACGAGTATCAAGTATGTTTATGTTCTAAATGGGCAGTTTTCAGCAAATGCAAATAACTTTATACTTGTCATTAGAAATGGCTAACTTCCTTAATGTGAATATATTTATTTTGCTAAAAGAGTCAGAAACAAAAAATGAGTCAGTGAGAAGCAAGCTACTACATAAAGATTAGTTGCTGCCCAAGAATCAGGCTGTTGCTCTAATACTCCTTTATCTGGAAAACATCTGGAATAAGAATTTGACTCAACCTAGCTACAATCCATACAGAATACCTGCATGTTTGGCCTTCAATCAAACATACAACAGGTGGGACCAAAAAGTGATAAAAGGATAGTAGACTGCCCAGATTCTCTTTGAATTTCCTGTATTTTCTTTTTATAAAAAAATTCATTTTATTTCAGAGAATAATAATATGTTGCAATAAGATTCTCAATTTGGATTTTTATTTTATTTGTATTTGATTTGTAAAACTCATAGGGCCATATGTTTTTCTACCGCATTAAAAAGTACTTCAGTGCTGAAATTGGAAGTGCCTTATTAGGAGCGAACATCTAGGGGTTTGGGAGGTCATTGTATAAAAAATTCCCACTTCTGTACCAAAATGTTGAGTGTTGTGCTGGGACTTAATCTGTTGTGGTCTGCTATAGAAAGCTAGTGACCACAAAGAGTGTCTCAATCCCATAAACTCCTGTCCTCATACAGCTTTATATGCAGATCAGGACTACTTCTCTCCTGAATATCAAGAAGTTTGTTTGATATGAACCTAGGGAGTTCATCTGCTGGAATGAAATTTATGTCCTTTACATTCCTTTAGTGAATACTAATCCAGGGCTACATGGAACAAAACAGAACATGATGCAAAACATTGATCTATTTGTCCTCTAGAGAAGAATTTTCCTGGTTTTGGTCCTTGAACAATCATCATCTTATTTCTAAAATCCTTCTTATACCTAAAATCCTTCTAAGGAAAATAATTAAGCAGCGCTTACCAGTTCCTCGTGGTCTTTGCTTTTGTTTTTATTATACGAGTATGGAAACACTATATGTTGGGCATACGAATGCATGCTGATATAAGCTTTAATGTGGTTGATATTTCTTCTCAAGAAATCAGCCATTGCCTTTGTTTCTGGTTCCGACTCAGGATAAAGTCCACAGTAGATTTCTGAGCATGAGGAACTTGATGCACCTTCCTCTGTAGTGAAATTGATTACGTGAAATTATGAGAGATGCACATACTACTCTGATTGCTGGGTTCCCTGACGATGTATTTTCTTAACATTCCATAGTGTGGTATTTTCAGATAAATGGATTAGGAAAGGCTCTGTAAAAAAAACTATCTCAGGGGACCAGCAATTAGCATAATGGCTATGTTGCTGGACTCCCATGTTGTCTACCACGATTGGAGTCCTGGACCTGGTGGCTTAAACTCATGCGGGGCACATGTGCGTGCATGCCCAAGATCCCAAGAGGAGAATGGAGGAAAAGGGATTGCAGCATGGCCATCCCCCCTGGGGGGTGATTTCTCGCTTTTTGTCCCTCTGTCTCTATCTCTCTAGCAAGCACACGCACCCTATAGCAAAAAAAAAAAAAACACTCTCCAAAAACAAACAAAAATACAAACAAGAAAAAGAAACTATTTCAGATTACCAGTGACTGTTGTTTATGTTTCCTTTGAACACCATATTTCAAATATTTTTATCTGTGCTGCAGGCCTGCAAGCCCTCTATCCAGCATTACCAGTCCCTGTCACCCTGGTTGCCTGGGAGGGCAGCCTTGAGAAAGCTGTCAGGAATCTCAGATGCCAGTCCTGCCTGCAAACTTCTGGTTATGTGAGGAAAAAAAATTCCATTCTTTAATCCACTGTAAATTTTGTATTAAAATTTTATGTTTTTAAAACTACTAATTTATATTGTCCCCAAAATAAAAGTCTCACTCAAGAATTCAGAATATGAAAGTCTATCTTTGGTGGTAATTTTAACTTGCTAAAGTGATTTAGTAAATAAAGTGGGATGGGGGTCATTTGACATAAAAATCATGTATATTTATGGCTATGAGAGACTATAGTTTACTTCATTTTAGATGGCAGTCTGTCTTCCAACACTTCGCCCTCTGTCTCTAATTCAGAGGGGTGAAACCTTATGGAGCCACATCAGACCCAAGAAATTATGCCCTCTTTGGTGAGGGCCTGGAATTCGGTTCCTAACTTGTGCTCTGTCCATCTGAATACCTCGAATGATAACTTGAAATTGAAAGTAAGATTCTATTATCAGTTCGACTACTCTCTAGAATAAAGACAACAATAGTAATACTACCAGGGAAAGCCACAGAGCACATGCTAATATGAGTAACTCTCTGAAGATTTATGCAATATCTCATTTAATCCTCACATCAACCTTATGAAGTGAATAGAGATTTTCTAAGAGACGCAAATTGGACACTGTTGGTGGTAATCATCCTTTACAGTAAGAACCTGCACAGCCTATTGTTAAGCACCCAATCTCTTGATTCTAATCTTGGTTTTGCTATTTAATAGCAATATGGCTTCAGGCAAGATTATTAAAACTTATCTATACCTCAATTTCCTTATCTGCAAAATGGAAAAAAAAAACATTAACAGAGGATTTAATGAGGGTTAAGTGAGCAAATGTATATGCAGTGCTCTGCACAATGCCTGGCGTATAGTACGTGTTCCTTAAGCATTGCTCTTTATCAACATCGTCATCACATGGATGGGGATTCAAAAAAAGGCATTGTGCACCACAGAGTTGAAATGGGCAGAGGAAGAATTTGATAAGCCACCTAGAGGGCTCCAGGCCCAATTCCTGTCTATTTATAAGTCCAGGGATGCCCCTCCCTTAGGTCCATCGGTTACGCCACTCTACTTATAAAGACTGCCTTTCCAATTTAGCTTGCTTTGCTTTCTTCCTGTTATGTGTAACAGAAAAGACCTTCATGTTTGTTAAACATTTATTTCCCCATTAGAAAATGTGTTGAGGGACTAGCAGATGGCATAATGGTTATATCGCTGGGCTCTCACCATAGTCAACTGTGGTTTGAGCCCCGGATTTGGTGCCTTAAACTGAGGCCAGGTGTGTGGGCATGTGTACCCAAGATCCCGAGAGGAGAATGGAGGAGAAGGGATTGCAGTGTGGCTATCCCCCTTGGGGGGTGATTTCTAGCTTTCTGTCTCTCTCTTTCTGTCTCTCTGTCTTTTTGGCGAGCATACGTACCTTATAGCAAAAACTTCTCCAAAAAAAAAAGAAAGAAAGAAAGAAAATGTGTTGAATAGCCACATTCAACATAATTATGTTAAATTATTTTGTTTAAACCAACATAAGTGGTTAAAATAACCAACATGGGGACCAGCAGATGGTTTAATGGTTATATCACTGGATTCCCACGTAGTTGGCTGTGGTTGAAGTTCCAGACCCAGTAGCTTGAAACTCATGCCAGGTGTGTGTGTGTGTGTGTGTGCATGCCCAAAATCCCGAGAGAAGACTGGAGGAGAAGGGATTGCAGCGTGGCTATCTCCTTTGGGAGGTGATTTCTCACTTTCTGTTTCTCTGTCTCTTTTTGTCTCTCTGACAAGTGCACTAAGGCAAAAACCACTCACCATAAATAAATAAATAAATAACCAACCAAGATAATCAGACAAACCATTTTTGATAATTTGGTTCTCTTTGAATACTCTTGATCTTTTCTTTCTGGTATGTAGTTCCAAAGAATAGAGATTACATATTAAGGACAGAGGTAGGAGAGCACATGAAAGAGATGAAGAGAGAAATGGGATGGTCATATGAATCCTCAGACTGGGGCTATTCAATAGAAATACAAGCCACATAGTTATTTTACAAGTCACATGTAAGGAACTACTTTAAGTAAAAAAATTGATCTAACAATTTATTTTACCTAATGAGTACAAACCATAATTTCAAATGTTATTAATATAACAATTACTCATTAAATGTTTTGTTATTTTTTTTCATACTAAATCTTTCAATCTGTTGTGTATTTTATACTCACTGTCTGTCTCAGTTCAGACAAGTCACATTTTGGTGCTCAACAGCCACATGTGGTTAGTGTGTTCTGTACTAGACACTGAGCCTCAGATTCTCATTCTGTGATTGTCAATTTAAAGATTTCAAGAATTTGGGCTGGCAGGTGGCATAATGGTTAAGGGTGTTGGACTCCCAGTGGCTGACTGCAGTTTGAGTCTTGGACCTGGTGGCTTGCCTTCTCACTTTCCCTCTCTCTCTTTCTCTCTCCCTCTGTCCCTCTCTGGTCAAATTAAAATAAATAAATAAAATAAATAAATTTAAATGAAATAATTCTTTTAAAAATTTTCAATAATTTTAATGAAAAGAGCCTTGAGAAGTCATGACACTTGAGTTTGAGACTGCATTGTTATTAAGCAGCTATGTTTATTTGGGCAAGTGTCTTAGTTTGTTTTCTGCTGTTATACAGGATGCTACAAACTGGGTAATTTATAAAGAAAAGAGATTTGTTTAGCTTACAGTTCTGGAGGCTGGGAAGTCCAAGATGGTGGCATTGGCATCTAGCAAGGGTCTTCCCATGGCAGAAGGACAGAAGTCAGGAGCAAGTGTGTAAAATGGAGAGAGAGCATGATTGAACAAGAGGATTGAACCTTTTTTTTTTTTAATAACAAATGACTCTCTTTTTTTTTTGGAGAGGTTTTTGCTATAGAGCACATGCGCTCGCCAGAAAGACAGAGACAGAGAGAAAGGGAGAAGTCACCCTCTGGGGGGATGGCCACGCCCCAAGCCCATTACTTCCATTCTCCTTTCAGGATCTTGGACACGCACACACACATGCCCAGTGTGAGTTTAAGCCACTGGGTCCGGGACTTGAACCGCAGTTGACTACATGGGAGTCCAGCAACATAGCCATTATGCCAATTGCTGGTCCCTAGTTGACTCTTCTTCTTCTTCGTCTTTTGTTTTGGAGAGGTTTTTGCTTTCCAGACAGAGAGACAGAAAGTGATAAATCACCCCCCAGGAGGGATGGCCACGTCACAATCCCTTCTCCTCCATTCTCCTCTCAGGATCTTGGGCACACATGCACACGTGCCTGGTGTGAGTTTAAGCCATTGGGTCTAGGACTTGAACTGTGGTCGACTACATGGGAGTTCAGCGACATAGCCATTACGCTAATTGCTGGTCCCCCCAGTCGACTCTTCTAATAATGAATTTATTCCCTAAAAAATTTATTAATCTGTTAATCCATGAGTGGATTAATCTATGCGTGAGGGTAGAGCCCTCATGACCTAATCACTCTTAAAGTCCTCACGTCTTAATACTATTATTGTGCTAGAGATTAACTTTCAGTATCAAACTTGTCGAGGACATTCAAACCATTGCAGCAAGCTGCCATGTTCCTCTGAGCCTCATGAGGCATTTGGGTTACCTGGTTCCTTCAAGCTCAAGCATTCCTTTAGACACATGGTTAAGAACACTATAAATTATCTAGAATGGTAAAACTCATAGAGACAGGAAGTAGGTTAGAAATTACCAAGGGCTGAGGGGAAAGGGGGGAATGAAGACATACTGTTAGATGACTGCAGAGATTTTGCTTAGGATGAAAAAGGGTTTTGGAAATACACTGTAGCAATGGTTGTACAACATTGTAAGTGTAATAATTGCCATGGAATTGCACAATTAAAATGGCAAAATTTGTGTTATATACATTTTGTTTTTTAAATTTACTATAGCTTGTATGTGTTTAACAGAGAGACAGAGAGAGAGGGAAAGTGAGACAGCACCCTGCAAGAGAGATGACCACACCACAATTCCTTCTCCATTCTCCTCTTGGGATTTTGAGCATCCAAGCACACATGCCCAGAGTGATTTTTCAAACTGTCAGATCCAGGACTAGAACCATGCAGTGGCCCATATGGGACCCAGCTGCCTCAACAACCACACCACCTATCTGGCCTAAGGTATATACATTTTATCACAACAACAAATAATTTTTAAAAACACTATGCTGTTATTGGCAAAGAAAAAAAAAGTAAAAGATTTTCTATAGTGATCTTCAGAAGAATTTCAGTAAATTTGTAGTCAGTCAACCTGGGTTCATATCCCAATCCCATGTCCTTAGCAAGAGACTTAACCTTTTAAAGTCTGGGTTTCTCTATCCATGATATGTTGACAATGAAGTCTAGGAGATGAGATATGTAAATGGCTCAGTACTAAGTAACTGTTGGTCTTTTTTATTCAGAGCTGCTGCTTCTCTGACTCACTGACTGGTTATCAGTGCTATAGCATCCTGTGAGCTTTGGTGGGCCCTGATATTAGACAATCTTAGGATGGCTGTTAGAGAGAAACCACTAAGTGAT